ATCGATTGGTTGCCTCTTGCACGAGCCCTGATCAGGGGCCAGGTCGGGGAGGAGCCTGCAACTGAGGTACGTTCCCTTGACTAGAATCGAACCCGGGACCCTGCAGGCCGATGCTCTATCCACTGAGCCAAACCGGATAATAGGGCGAAAATGAAGTGTATTTTAATAAACACTGCCTTCATATTATTCAAAGCGTGTGTATACATTTTTGGGGGGAACACCCTATATTTTGTCACAATCTCTAGGTATTTTGGAGTCGTTTGAGAGATGTTCCAGGAGACATTTAAATTTTTCTTAAACCACCAATAATTTCTGAATAGCAGTGATGTGATGTGCTCTGTACTGCCCTGAATAAGAGCAGGACACTGCCTCTACCCTCAATTAGCTTAAATTAAAAAATGAGGGATAAGTTAAATATGTATGTAACTAATATAAGAAGAGCAAAATATTAAGTGGCCACATTCATACAAAGAGCACTGTTGGAGTTACAAGGGTGAGGGATCTCATTCACTGGGGTGAACAGGATGCTTCCATTAGAGTGAGACAGATGGGCCTTGGAAGAAGATCCTGCCAGCAGAGCTTGAGGGTGACCGAGTGCCAGGGGAGAGTACAGCACAGGAATAGCTCAGAGGCCAGAAAACCTGGAGTGAATTCACTTCACAGAGAGTAGTCCAGCTTGACTGCATAGGCAGGATAAGAGGGAAAGAATAAATGAGAGCCATATGAAGAAAGCCAGGCATGGAAGCTAAAGAGTTTTTATAAATTTTTAGAAATTGTTTATTTATTATTATTTTTTAATCCTCACCTGAAGACATGTTTAGAGAAAGGGAGAGAGCAAGAGAGAGAGAAACATTGATTGGCTGCCTTCCGTAAGCTCCCTGATCAGGGATCAAACCCACAACCTTTCTGTTCACAGGACAACTCTTTATCAACTGTGCCACTCCGGCCAGCCTATAGAATTTGTTTTTCAATGTTACAGGTAGTGAGGATCCATTAAAGATTTTGAGCAAGAGCATGACTCCTTGGCTCACAGTGTAGTGTTACTTAGAACCACTGTGTGGCTGGGTCTCCCCTTCGTCACTAATAGAGTGATAGCTGAGAACTGGCTGCCCAGGCAAAGACTACATTTACCCTCTTCCATGGCAGTTAGTAGTGAATTGTGTGCACAAGTGATGTGTCAAACCTCCAGGCCGCTTTCATCCATCTTTCCCCTTTTTCGGGAGGTGCAATGGCAGTGACAAAAATGACTCTGGGAGAACACATATTGAAGATGGAGGAGCCACAGACAGCTTGGGGTCCTGAATGGCTGAGGGGCTCAGACCACTGCTGACCCAGCACCCGCTACCGAACCAGGCCTCCAGCCATCCTCTGGCCAACCTCCAGCAGGCTTTCCCTTAAATATTCTTCAAAGAATATAAATGACTAACATTCCCTGATCACCCCTTCACAAACTTCAAAGGCAACAGAACTGGGTGTATCAAAGGTCGTTTGCTTTCAAATCTGATGTGTGTTTGCTGAATAGAAGTGAGATTTAAACATGTGAGCCCAAAGACCCATCAACAATATGTGTGTCCTCAGGGATGGGCTATTATTTTCAATTCCTTACCTTTTTCCTTTCTTTAACATCGTAGAGAGCAATGCTGGCAAACAGAGGCTCAATTTCTATCTCAAACCTGTGAGAGCAAGAGAGAAAATCTGTATGGATTTAACTTAGATAATTGCAAATTTTCTGAAAATGCCTGAAGCTAAAAATCCAGATTTTTCTGCATAACTTTCTGACTTAAGATTTTTCTCATTTCCTTTTTAAATGCCACACAATTCAAACAAAGCATGTCTGCAGTCTGGATTCATCATGTGGGCATCTATTTGCTGCATCTACTATAAAGCAACTGTCTCAAGTTACTTCATTGTTTACTTTTATAGTAAAAAAATAAATCACTTATCCTCTATATATGTGTATTAATTTTGTACTTGCATATTAAAATATTAAATACATTATAAAACATACATAATCAAGACATTTTAAAGGCTGAACTAAATAATTCAAAATAAATCACAGTATTAGAGCATTTGCTTTCCGCACTCCAGTGGATTGTCTTGGGATCCCCCTGGGGTGCTTGTGCACCTCTCTTTCCTCTTTGCAAGCTGCTACTTTAGAGAATTAGATCGTCAATTTCTTCAAATCACAGACCCTTTTGAAAATATTAAGTTGTAAATGCTCTACCTAGGCAAAAGTACATGAGCATATTCTATTATATCCTATTAGGAGGGTCATCCATCTCTTAAAATCAGTTCATGGACCCCTTAAGCAGCACCAAGTTTGCAACTAGGGCATCTGGATACTGGATGCAAGGCTTTGTTTCAGCCTTGAGAACTTCTCTGGGACTTTGAGTCTTTTCTTGAAAATGTAGTTGTTAGACCAGATAGTCTTAAAGTTCCCACCTGTCACAAACTCCTAACTCTAATGCATAGCCTCCCAGTTCCCCTCCTTGAACCCAGTCTGCATGACTGCTCACCCTCTTGGGCATGTCTCCTTGATGTTGTAGCCCCCTCCCCACCCTAGCCAATTCCACCAGGGAAGGGGTCCAGAAAGGCACACTCTAGCCCTGGCCGGCGGACCGGAGGGGGGAGCCTCCTAGTCTTTCAGCGGGAGGACCGAGTGGAAGTGGCTGTTCCGTTCCCCTCTGCATCGTTCAGGAAGTCCGCCCTATTGTCTGAGGCTCTCGCCCACCCCCACAGGATGCCAGGATGCACTTCAGATGCAGTGACTATGCCGTTTAGGACGGAAGGAATTCTCTCCGATGATGCTTATCACCAAGCCGGCTAGAACTTTCCAATAAACGACAGCTGTTCTCACAGGTGGGAAAACATGGCCACTAAGATAGACGTGCATTATTAAACAAACAAACAAAAAAAAAACAAATTGAGTCACTTGGATTTCTCTTGATGAAAACTGTGAAGTGTAGTTTCTAGTGACTTTTCCCCCCAACTGTCAAAACAGAAATTAAGTTGCATCGAGCTGTTTGTTCAGTGCACTGAAACTGGGTTTTAGTTGCATTTATCATTGTGTTTCAACAGTGGTATGCTGGCAAATGTTTAAAAAACATATCTCTGGAAAAAAAAAGGTTTTAATTTGTAGCATTTCCTGGTTTTGATGCCAATATTTCCACCAAGACCAATATCAAGCCACCAATGTGACTTCACTGAGTAAAGAGCTGGGAAAAGAAGGGTATGATCCACTGTCATGAGTCAGAGCTGAGTCCAGCACACCAGTGGCTCTCACTGTTGTTTAACGTAGGCCATCTCACTCCATCTCCCTACGTGCCTAACCCTCGTGTGTGCCTTCCCCATTGTAGAAGAAAGACTGGAAAAGGCTTGGTAGGAATAGAATTAAAATCCAGCTGACTCCAGTCTCTGCTCTTTCCATGACCTCAGAGCTGCCCACTGTTATATATGTTGGGAGATGCTCCCTAATTCAAGCTCTGAGGTTAAAGATAAAGTTTGCATCTAAGAGGCAATATAAACCTCAGTGTAGTTACCCATTGCTCATACTTACTTTAGGGTCAGCAACTTGACCCATATTCTGTTGCCCAGATGTTCCTTAGGGCATTCTGGCACCGGACGTATTTCCACAGCATCCTCCTGTTATTAATCACATGGTAAAGAAATCATTAGTGAATTCCCACCAGAGGAGTTCCAGCTGGAGTTAACCCAGGGAAGGGAAGGCTGCCATCCACTGCTCAGTTCAACTTGCATTTGCTTTCTTTCCAATAGCAGAATGACACTGACATTTACAAGAGTTTGTTATCCAACCCCTAAGCTTCAGAGTCAGCATTTACAGCAAATATCTTCTCCTTGCAGAAAGCCAAGCATTGAAGACAAAGAGACTGAGGGAGGAAGGAAGGAAATGTGAACATGGATATGACTTAGTAACATCCACCAGATGGCATTGCAAAAATCTTATGTCTATTGTTGGTTTTGTTTTGTTGGGGCTTTTTTTGTTGTTGTTTTTTTGGCTACTCTAAGTACACATTCAGAATATTTCTCCTGCCAAGGACTTTTCTAGTAAATATGTGTGTTTCAGACTTGAGATCTGAGTCAGAATAGCTCACTGAAGGCTGAAAACCATCCATACTATAATACAGCATCTTTCTCAGTTCATAAACAGATGATAGAGATTTGGGGATGAATTTATAGGTTCTATAAAAAAAGGTCCAGCTAAAAGTTGCTAAAGGTCTATGTACAGAAAGGCTTAGTGATGACAAATTAAGATATATACCTATATTTTACCACATTGGGACTCAAGACTTAAAGAGAAAGATCAAATCCCTATTGCAACTTTTAGCATTCAAATCTAAACTATTATAGTATCCTAATTACATTCATGTAGGCAACTATAAAGAGTGCAAATCCCTGAAAACTTTAATTCCTGCTTTTGCACTAGGCTATCCAAACCCTGGTCAGCGGTCTGCAGCTCACACGGGTCTAAGAATAGAGTCAAATCTAATTGTATTTTGCTGGGCTATAAAGGATGGGCGCTCCCCACCAAATACCCCACAGCAACCATAGCATTCTTACAAATAGCAGAAAAGTCACCTTTTTGGCAAATCTGTGCCTAGTTTGGTGGAATAGTCAAAGTCGTAAACTCACATCCACTCTAACCTTTGCTCTCCTTTAAAGCCCAATCCTGGGTTTACCAGTTGGCCGTCTTGTGGGGTGGAGCTGCTGAGTTTCTTCCAGAAAGACGCTGTTCTGATGTCTACACGGAGCGGAACTCCCTCAGAACAAGCTGGAACTTTTAGGGTGCTCAGAACAGACACATCCAAGAGGGAAGATCCCCCTTATTGGAAAACAACCTCAACATAAAGACACTCATGGGTTTCTAAGACTATATTTGGCCTGGATTCAATCTTTTTAAAAAAGCTTTTCATTTGGGAAATTATAAACATACTAGAGGCTCGGTGCACAAAAATTTGTGCACTCGGGGG